ATCGAAATCGGAACAATTGTCATTAGTAGTAAGGTATGTAGAGAAAAATGGGAAAACATGTTCAATTGAGGAGCGATTTCTGATGTTTATTGAGGTAAAAGAAAAAACCGGTTATGCATTGGCCAATATCCTTCAAAAAGTGTTACAAGAACTAGGACTAGATATTCAAAATATTAGGGGACAGGCTTATGACAATGGTTCTAATATGGCAGGTCAATATCAAGGCGTGCAAGCTAGGATACTGCAAGAAAATCCTACTGCAAGATTTGTCCCATGCTCGGCGCATAGTTTAAATTTAGTGGCATTACACAGTGCTTCAATTAGCCCTGAAATAATAACTTTTTTTGGGATTATTCAAAATTTGTTTAATTTTTTTGCGCATTCCACTGTGCGATGGACTAAACTAAAAAATGCATTAAATATTACCCTAAAAGGATTTAGTGATACAAGGTGGTCTTCCAAAGCATTAGCGTTGAATGCACTTATCACTCAATTTGAATTGGTTTTGGATCTCTTAGAAGAAATGACTGATGTTTCAATATATTCTGGTGAAACAGTAATTGGGGCAAAAAATTTTCAAAAAAATCTTAAAAATTTCGACTTTGTAATTCTTTTAGTTTTTTGGTCATCTCTATTAAATAAAATTAATAAAATAAATCTCTTACTGCAGAAAAAGGACTTAACATTAGATACCGCTTGCAAACACATTAAAGGGTTATTAGAAGAAATCAAGGAAAACAGAGATGGTTATTTTGAAAAATCTGAAAGAGATGCTTTGCAGATTTGTCAAAATTGCACTCTTTCAACGGAATATAAGGAAGTTCGAAAAAGAAAAATTAAAAAGATGAGCGGTGAGCTTGCTGACGATTTTTATTTAGACCCAAAAACGAAACAAAAACAGCTATTTTTTCAAGTCATCGATTCAATAATAACGCAGTTAAGTAACAGATATAAAGGTTTACATGAGATTTGCAGTGATTTTAGTTTTCTTAATGGGTCAGTTCTGTCCAAAATGAGTCTTTCTGATACTGAAAAGTGCATCAATGCTTTGTGCGATAAATATCCCAACGACTTCAATTGTACTGAATTTATTCAAGAAGCAGAAAGTTTTAAGTTTCAAACGCAAGAACTTTTTGATATCCAGGGACAATCTGCATTGGAAATTTATCAAAACCTACATAAATATGATCTAATGGCAGAGTATCCCAATTTTGCTACAGCATTACACATTTTTCTAACAATACCGGTCACTAGTGCTTCTTGTGAAAGAACTTTTTCAAAATTGAAACTTTTAAAAAACTATTTACGATCGACCATGTCCCAACAAAGATTATCTAATACTGCCATATTATCCATAGAAAGGATCATTGCAGAATCAATTTCTTTTGATAAATATATATCAGATTTCGCATCACAAAAAGCCAGACAATGTTGTTTGTAAAATTATCTTTCTACTCAAATATTTAAGTAGAGCGTAGAATTTCTATTCGTAAGTAAGTACCTATTTGATTTTATAACTACACATTACCATTTTTTTGTTATTAAAAATAAACTTGTTCTTAAAAAAAATATTAATGTTTACCCCCCCCCCTCCCCCGCACCCTTCCCTTGGTAGCGCTTTCTCTAGGGGGCGCAAAAAAGCGCTTTCTCTAGGGGGCGCAAAAAAGTAACCTTGCCTATAGTAGAATATAATGCAGTTACGGCCCTGCAATAACTTATGCATATTGTACAATATTTTCAATGTAACAGTTGGTGTGTTTGATAAACTGGTATACACAGAAAAAAATATGTTAGTTTCTGTAACTAAAATTAATTATCTACGCCCTTATTTACTAAAACAAATAATATATTGGGTTATCAACGCAACGAGATCGTTTAGTTTAGTTAATGCAAGTATCCGTAGAATCTAAATTTTATTTCTGATTAAATATTGTTAAGCAAACTAAATTTTTTTCTGTCCTAAATAAGTAAACTTACTAATTATGTTCTAACAAAGCACCTTTGCGACTCGAAGAAAATAGTTCGTTATACTTTGCAAAATATTTCTTCGTGCAAACAATACCTTCTTTATATCCAGATTAAATATCATGCATGTAGATAAGTAAGCATCTTATTTGTCTTAATCAAAATTTTCCCCACAAAGAATAATTGCTCTTTGGTTCTACAAAATATAATTTGCTGCATCTTCGAATATATTATGTAGGTGCATGAGTCGCTGCGTCAGACCAACGAAAGAACTTGGCTGTATAAAGATGAACTGCATTATTTGCTTTATTGCGTTCATCGTTGCAACTTTCAACTGACGCGTATACATTTTGTTATAATTTAGGTACTTTTACTACCAGTTTTCTGTGAAGTGTGAATGTGACTTCAGACTTGTGAAAATGGAAGAAAAATTAAGAGAGTGGCAGATGGAAGAACTTCTGGAAGTGTTCAAAGGTGAGAAAGTTTTACGTTTATGAATGCAAGTGCGACTTAGTACATAGGGGGAGGTTGCCCAAGAGTACGCACTTAACATTTTATTGACATTATTAGGCATCCATTTTGTACTGCACCTTTAAACAAATTGAAAAACGGACACATACTATATTTACTTTAGTTTACTAAATACTATATTATGTTAATAAATGGTAATTACAACAAAACGAAACATATTTGTAGAGTGGCATTTGCGCACTCTTGGGAACAGTGCGCCTTAAGAGTGCGCAGTGACGTTCTTAAGAGTGCGCAAGACCCTAATTACAAAAATCACACAAATATTGCCCTCCTGAATAGTATGTGCGAGCTTCGTGCCACCAATGAGCACACTTTAAGCACTGTATCCAATCTTCATCGGGCGGTTCCACAAATTTTTCATCACAACCTGGGCAAAATACATCCTCTTCTGGTGTCTCTGTTTGTGACATTCGTACTGACTCTTTTTCTTTGGACTTCTTAGAGGATTTGGACGTAGATGGCACAATTTTGGAAACGTTTGCTACTTCACACTGCAATCGTCTCTTAACAGAATTGGCTTTTGAAGGTGGTGCAGGCGGTGTTATTGTAATGGAGTTTTTGAAAGGGGTGCTTGTTAAAATTTCAGACTTTTGGGCATTCCTCCGTCTCACATTGGAGGTTTCCATTTTTGGCAAGGGTCTAATTTGGTATGGTGTCACAATCTCATTACTTTTTTGGTTTTCGCCTTCTAATATTATGCTGGAAATGGGAACATTTTCCAACTGCACTTCACTCATGTCGATTGTAATCGGTGATTTTAATAGCTCAAACCTCGAAACGTTTGTTTGGTCTGGGAATTCAATTATCACTAGAACAGTGTCCACTATTGGGTTGTCTGACTTACTAATGGAATCGACTCTTGATTGCGCAGAGTGTTCGGTTTTTTCCTCATTTGACAGTTCTTCTGAGTTGACCAGAATAGAGTGCTTTAATGATGGATCATCACCTTCTTTCGCCAATGCAATGGAGCTGAGATATGGTTTATCACTAACTGCAGATGGTGCAAAATCTTCCTCTCCAAACACGTTAGGATTGTATGGCGATATACCTGTTGTGGAAAAAGAATTTGTGGCCTTCTCAATGTTTGATACTTTGTAATACGCTTTCCGAAATAATCCGGCAACTTCTGATTGAGTGATAACCTTACCCGGATGTGTGACAAGGTAATTATCACATACCTCACTATAGGCTGATTTTAAGGGGCCGAAAAATCCTTTATCTAATGGCTGAAGCCTATGACTCGAATGAGGCGGAAGCGATAGGAGGTGGATAAAATTCTCACGCCAGTGTTCGGTGAGATACGTGATTGTCTAGCAGCAGGAGAACTGGCTCTTCTGGACTTGGTTTAACACTCGATTTGAAATGTTGTATCCATACAAGGAACAAATCAGAGTTAATAAACCCAGAATCAGATATCATTCTCAGCGTTCCAGTTGGGGTATCTTTAAACAGATCTTCCTTCATTCTCTTTCTTGGGAAAATTAATGCCGGGGGAACGTATTCACCACTTGCATTGAAACAACACACTGCCGTTATTAATTGACCTCTTTCCGCACTTGCAACTTTACTAACAGCTCTTTTTCCTTTCTCACACATTACTCGAGGTTGTTTGTTCGGAACCGTACTAAGCCCAGTTTCGTCCATGTTATACACTCGCTTATTAGGAGGGAAATTATATTTGACATACAACTGCTTCAAGTTTTAAAAAAATCTCTCTATTTGAGGTTTATTAAACCCCATTATACGCCCCATAGAGCATTTTTCAGGTTGTCGAAGAGGTTGTCATTTTCTGTCTCTTACAGAAATTTCTAACCCATTTATCACCTGCCACTTTTTTGTCCATGTTAAACGGATGTGGTAAATTATTCATAATAGCATATTCAAAAGCAATGTGTTTGAGATCTTTTCGTGTTAGACCATAAAACCTTGTATCCATTTGTTTTACATATTCAGCTAACTGATTTTCCATGTCGTTATTAAAAAGACATTTAAATCTTCCTAAGGATTGTGGGACTGTTCCAAGTTTCAATCGTTTCCGAATAGTGGATTCGGGAATATTCAATTCTCTAGATAACTGTCGTTTTGATTTACCATTTTCTATTTCCGTTCGAATTGTTTGCATTAAGTCTTCTGTAAATGCAAGTCTCCTCTCAGACTTCCTCACATAGTAATTAGCCATTCTCTGCAAAAAAACGAGATGTAGGTACCTACCTTAAACTCTTAGGTATTCCCAAGAGTGCGCAGTGCGTACTCTTGGGAATAGAAGTGTGCGTACTCTTGAGACAATGAATCGGTTTCCTGTTTTGATCTAATATTATTTAACCTTAGTAACAAAATTCAAGTTACACCTTATTCTGCGTGTAGCTAAAGCACTGATGTATGTAGTATATCATGCTATACCCACACAGCACACTGACAACCATAAGATATCTAAAAAATGTTTTTTATGGATATCCATGATATTTAATGGATATCCCCTCACATGTAATGGACGAATACTACACAGAGAAAACTGTTTGTTTAAATTGACGATATCAATTTGTTTGGTGGTTTAATATTTGAATGTACCAAATTTTATTTACACGAAAGCAAACTTTTGTTGGATTAAAAATAACGAGATATTTGGTAATGCAGTATCATTTGTTTGGAGTTATAAATTTCTAATTTCTTGAAAGCAAGCTATTATACTTCATTTCAACAAAATATTTCTTCCATAAAACCAAAGTAATATAACGTTACCTGAAAACAAGGGTGATTTGAAAAAAACCCACATATTAAAAAATGAATCACATATTTCTTTAGACCAAACAAATTATTTGTAACGTCCTTTTGAGAAATGCAGCTTGAGCTAAATAAATTAAAGTTGAAATAAAGCAATATATTTCTTTGTCCTACGTATTAGTTATTTCAAATGAAACAAACGAATATTTAATATAAGCAAAAATTAAACCTACCAGCTTCAAAAAATATGACTTCTACATTGACAGAGAGCTTCTTTGATTCAAACAAACGATGATTTAGATTTACCACCTACTTGATGCTCACTTGTTCTGCATTTTCGCCAAATTGCATTTTACTTATTGCGCTATCGTATTCGTATGGTGTCTGCCTTACAATTTACTTTAATTTGTAATTGTGTACTGTGAATACGTGATTGTAGGTATACTGTGTTGTTAGCCAAGCATAATGGAAGAGTTTTTCAGTAAAATTGGCCTCTCACACCTATTACCAGAATTTACAAGTAAGTAAAAGTGCTTTTTTTATGATTCGTAATGGCCTATCGTGAATAATTAGCAATTCCTGCAAATATGATTATACGATTATAAAAGCACATTGTTTTAGAACAAAGTATAGATTCGACGGACCTACTTCCTGATTTAACTGAAGAGCATATTGTGCAATTGATTCCAAACATAGGAGATAGAATTAAATTCAACAGGGGTGTCAGAAGCATCCAAATTGAGCAGGTTATTAGAGAATTAGTTACTTTCTTCACTCGGTTATTCACGCATATTTTTTAGGCTACTATTGACTTCATAGACGAGTGTACTCCACCTCCATCAAAGAAACCTTATACGGAGTCAACACCTGTGTCATTTTTGGTCGAAAATGCCACAAATTTGTTAGACACTTACGTAGATTTGGACGCTGGCCCTTCTACCAATACTTTACATGACATTAATTCTATGTCAACTGTAACAAACACCGATCAAAGTGATTGTGGATTGAATTCTTCCTTTTTAAATTACTGCTCCATTGAAACTGCAGTTCAATTCAATTTGCAAGAAGTGTTGAACGCAGACGTTTTAGGAAGAGCCATATTAAGTAAATATAATTCAAAATTTACCCTTGATGGAAAAGAGAGGAACGTTCTCTGCGAGATTATTATATCTCACTTTTTAAATAAATCGTTTAAATTGAATAACGAATCGTTATCCATTATTGCAAATAAAATTGTTGCTCTTTTTCCGGCTTGTGAAAAGAGAGCCACTTATTTTGTCAGCCCTATTCCTAAAAAAAGATCTGGTCGCAATAAACCAGAAGTTGCAAAAGGCAAGCTTGTCGACAAGCATAGAAATAAATTGACAGCACTCAGAAGAGCGCTCCAATTTGACGTAAGTGTGGGAGAAAACATTTCCGATGAAAATGAAGGTATATATGTATACAATCCCTCACAGAAAAAATCGTATCAACGGGGAACTTTTCAGAACCCAACCAAAATGCAAGAGACAGTCGACTGTGGTTACTAAACAACAATGAACCTGTAGAAGAAGTACTCCAGCATTGGCGCAATTCCTATTCAATTCGGAAAATTACAGTAAACAAGAACAAAACAATTGAACAGTTCTACAAGGAGTGGCCCATTCTTGAAACTCAATTGGCGATTGAACTGGTAAGTTACCTATCCCATATATTTTATTTTACGCTGTTTTCGTCCGTACAATTATAGGTCGAAATGTAACATTACAACTTTTATCAATAACTGCGGTTCATGTTACGCAAACACAACTTGAATCCCCAAATTCCATGGCATCACAAAAATTGCAATAGTAAAAGTGCAGGTTCACTGTCCCATTGCTACATCTTTATAATAAAAACTGAAAAAGAATACTCTTGAGGGACCTAGCAAAATTGTCTTAGTTTAATGCACATTTGTATGGTATGTCATTCATTTTTATGTGCCAAACAAAATCTATGTTTTACCTAGATTTCCTTTGAAAGTATTCAACAATCACTGCATTGCCTACTGAATTTCTCCCTACTGATTCCTTATTTTTAAGAACTTTTAAAATGTGTTCAAAGTTTTTATATTGATAATATATTTTTATACAGGTTACTTATGACTTCAACAAATTATTTGAAAAGGAAGGTGCTACAGATGATACTTTCAATTTCTTTTTCGAGAAGCTACTGGACATTCGAAGAAAAAATTTATCTGCAGCAGACGAAAGCATTCTTCAATTAGTGGAAGGAGATATAACTACTGGTAAACTTGCGTTCAATTTACATCTTAATATAAGTACATGACTATTGTAGATTCAAAGCGGGCAGTTCAGTTATATCTGCTACCATCGTTAGTTCCACCAAGAGGTCGCATAAAGGCGAAGGGGAAGCAATGGAAGCCATCCATTACAGAGTGTAGAGATGGATTGTTTGTGCATGTTAAATTGCCTGGTGATATCGACAAGGCTAAACGCGATAAGGTAGATTTCATGTACAATAGGGGACAAACTGTACAACCCTATGTTATTTTAGTTGGCCCCAGTTTAAATAATGTGACTGGCTTCTATGTTGTTATAAACGACAATTTATATAAATGCATTTCTGTATTTGATGCATTAGACTTTTGTTTTAAATCTCATCATATATTTGATGCCAAGTATTCTTTTGAAAGTCATCATATTTGGTACCTAATTCAGTGGCAGGTCTATAATTTGAAAACTAAATCTGACTTGAAGATTCCATTTGTTCAAGATTGCGTTTACAATCATTAGGTTGCCGTTTTAAAATAAGCGTAGCTATTGATTTAAGCATATTTCTTTCCGACACCATGGACACCTCTTTCAGTTGCTTCAGTTGTGGAAAATTGTTAAACTCTATTGAAATGCTGCTTAAACACATCAAAATTATACATCCTTTTCTTGTAAAGTACAAATGCAACCAATCAGATTGTTTTAGATCATTTCATAATTTATCGACTTTACGAAAACATTATGTCTCTGAACACAAAGGGGCCAGCAAATGTTCAAAACCAATATCTACTAGTAATACAGGGCTATCACAACATGATGATTATCATGATGACAATTTCAATAATGGCATCAGTACCATCATAGATGGCGAAGACGAAGTGCAAACACCCAAAAAATTGAACATAAAGGATGAAATAGTTGCTTTCATATCAAATTTGTATAGTTTACCGTCTATACCCAGAAATCAAGTTCAATTAATAATAAACAGGTTTGATGAGTTGATGTCATCCGTGTGTAATTACATTTCAGATATTTTACAAAGTTTGAATTCCGAATGTGATAGTATTATAAACGTATTGCACACGCTTTCAGATGTGCAGACTATGTTAGCCGAATTTAAATCTGAATATCGTTGTTTTAAGTATTTTGAAGAATGTGACAGCTTCATAAGGCCAGAAGTGTTTTCTGTTGGAGAACATCCTGTATTAAACAACAAAAGTACAACGCAACACCCAGTTCTGGCATTGAAAAAAATCGAAATACAGAAAATTCCTTTAAGGAGAGTTTTACAAAAATTTTTGGAATTACCAAATGTTTATAATATCCTACAACAATATTTACAAGAAGAAGATTCAAAACCTTCATCGGTTTTGTCTAATGTCTTTCAAGGTTCTCTTTGGCAGAGTATGAAGACGAAATTTGGCAATAGAACGGTTTTTCCTCTCTATATGTTTTTCGACGACTTTGAATCATGCAATCCTCTTGGAAGTAAAGCTGGTATACACAAAATCGGGGCGGTATACGTTTCGTTGGCTTGTATACCACCAGAATATTCTTCCATACTTGAAAACGTATTTCTAGCTCAATTGTTTTATTCTAAGGATAGAACGACAGTCGGAAATGGAAAAATTTTTTCTAAATTATTAGAAGAATTCAAATACTTAGAGGAATATGGAATTGAAGTACATATTAGCTCAAAACGATATCGTATTTATTTTGTTCTTCTTTTAGTTTTGGGAGACAATCTAGGTTTAAACTCAATTTTAGGATTCAATGAAAGTTTTAATGCGAATTATTTTTGTAGAATATGTAAAACTTCCAAAGAACTTTCTAAAATTCAGAGTATTGAAGATTTTAACACTCTGCGCACAATTAATAATTACGACGAGGATTCTAGGAATTTAAGTTTTGGAATTAAACAGATATGTATTTTTAATGATCTACGATTCTTCCATGTGGTTGAGAATATCTCCGTGGATTTAATGCATGATTTGCTAGAAGGAGTGTTAAGATATGATATGGCCCATATATTAAATAACTTAATATCTAAAAAATTTGTCTCTCTTCCACTAGTAAATAGTCGGATTAAGTTTTTTAAATTTTCGGAAGCAGATATTGGCAATCCCATACCTATAATAAAAATTGAACACCTTCAAAAAAATTACTTAACGTTAAGTGCATCAGAAATGTGGGCCTTTGTTGTATACTTTGGTATACTACTAGGAGATCGTGTCCCAGATAATGACGAAGTGTGGGAATTTTATCTAAATTTACATCGAATAATTCACATTATTACTAGTAGAACTATTTCCAGAAATGCTGTTGAGCTCCTAAAAACCTTAATTGACAACCATAACAAAGATTACTGTGCTTTGTTTAACGATTCTCTAAAACCCAAACATCACATATTGGTGCACTATCCTACAGTCATATTAAAAATAGGACCTCCTCGTCTGATTTGGGGGATGAAGTATGAAAGTTTCCACAAAACCTTAAAAAACTTTGCTGGTGCAGTTACAACCAGAAAAAACATAATTGCTACATTAGCTGTAAAGCAGCAACTCAAATTATCATCAAGATTCTTAAGCGTTCGCGGAATTGATGATAATATATGTCTTGGTCCATGTGAAGGGTTAATTTCGCAATTGCCGGAATTTTTCGTTATAGAGAGATTACTAAATTCGCATCTCATCACTTTTAATTCAAATGAAGCTGTAATTGTAAATTGGGTAAAGATTAACAATATTAAATACAAAGAAGGGTTATGTTTGCAATTTACAGAAAATGATATTCCCGATTTCATTAAAATTAAATTTATTTTTCACATAAATAATGAGATTTATTTTGTTGGCTGCCTTATTTATACCATTGGGTATAATACTCATATTCAAGCGTATGAAATCCGAGATGAAATCATATGCGATTCTAAAATCTCCCCAAATAATTTTAAACTAATTCCTTCAAGAAATATGCTTAATCGAAAACCTAGCAATATTCACTATACAGCTGACGGTATGTTAGTTATCTACAATGCATAATAATTAAGTACCTATTGAAAACATTTGTTTAAATATTAATCTCAGTAATGATTGTAGAAGTATAACTGACTTTTCTAGATAAAAATGTCAGTTCTAAAATTGTGTGGTGGTGGCCTCTCACTTGACGTGGCAGCATAGGATTCTTTAAGTTAGTATTTAGAGTATCAATGTTAGTATTCAGTTTTTAAAAAAATATACTATGCGTCCTTAAATGGTATTGATTTCTGTATCATAAAAGCAGTAATAACTAAACTAGATAGCATAATTTGAGAAAATAATGCTCCCATCAGTCGTATAGCGTATTGGCCCAGTCGCCCTGTAAATAATATTAGCATAATCTCGAGCATAATATAATACTATGACATTAGAATAATTGTCTACTACAAGTAAGTAAATGTTATTATCATTTTTATTCCTAGAAACATATTTTGTTTATATATTGTATATTATGTATTTTATTTTATTACCTAATAAATATTTGTGTGAACAAATTTCGTATTTACTTCACAATAGTACCTATTAAAATAAACAAGATCATAATTTGGTTTAAAAAAGGGATGTTTTGTGCAAAAAAATATATCTGTTAAAGGAAGAAAATATGTTTTTTGAATCAACCAAGCACCTTCATTTGCTTAACAGAATTAAACATATCATCTAAATTACATTGTCTTTCATCCAACAAATAAAGCTGTTTCTTTACCATAGATATAGTAGATTGTATAACACAAATTTTGGTTCAAATAAATAGATATTGCTTTAAAAATATAGTATTATTTATTTGAACCAAACGAATATTTCTTTGAAAAATATTGCACATGTATGATGTAAACCGAACATCAAAGAAATAAATGTTTGCTTGGAAACAGTAAAATTGGAAAATCAACAATATATTTGTTTGTTTAAAGTATAATTTACTTGAAGGGACACGCTACCTTGACTTAAGCTGAAATTGGAGTTATTTCTATCAACATTTTCCATTGCTTTTTTCAATATTATCAGAAGTTAAATCAAAAGTGGGTTTGGCGTATGTAAATAATTACTGTGTTAACTATCTAAAAAAATTGGCAATTTAACTTAAATAATTCATTTACTTCGCCATATAGAAAGAAGAAATTTATTTGTATTAAATATTTTTTATTTCTCTCAAACAAAAGTTTTTCTCTGTGTAGATATCCAGATGTCCCGCCATATACCTACATATAGATATCCATACAGTTGGTCTATTAGACGTACATAATCTTTAAAATGATATCTGTTAGATGTAATATGGATCAAAAATAGCACTAACAATGTTCCACGGACATCCAGTGGATATACAGCAATGCATAGAACCACATAAAGAAATGAAAAAAATGTATGATTTATTTATTAGTTACAACTTAAAAAGCACAAAATATTCATGTGTATAAAACCAGAATAGTAATAATATAAAATATAATAGTTAAGATTAAGAAATTTATAAAAAAGAAAAACAACTTATCCTGTAGGTTCTTCAGCGCCCTTTTGTTCCCGTTTACTATAAAAAAAAAATCGCGTTAACACAGGCATGCTTTAAATACATGGGTATCATTCCATAGTTAATATAATATGAAACGCAATTTGGACAATAAGCTTTAATATAAGTAACTAGAAGATTTATGATAATTCAATCGGGTGGTGGATTTTGCTATGGTTACGCAATTATTGGGGCATTTGTGTCCACCGTATATTCTGTCTACCAGGTTGGAATGGTTGAATATGTTTCTAAAGATGCCTGGCACAAATTCATAGTCATCATTACATACAGGGTGCCCATTATGTATGGAATCAATATAGTAAGTATTTATTGTGGTAAATAACGACTGTGTAAAAAAATTTTTTATATAAAAGTTGTTAACATTTTATTTATCATAATAAGGCAACATTCAGTTTTTATTTCGAAAAACAAATGAGTAACAAAAACAACTTTACTAGCAATGCACGTCTTTATCAGGCTCGTTTGATATAGATTTCTTTTCTCTTTTCTATTATGTAACATGTTAGAACCCCTATGGCTAAAAATTTTCAAAAAAATTTAAATCTCTTTATTCAGTAATTACATTAATCTAGATATCCTACATAAAAACACACCAAATGAATGTCTTCTCTTATTAAACCTTAAAGACAAATTGAAATTAGCAGTAAAATCTCTATCAAATGAGCCTAATGAAAGGGCACATTGCTATTTAATAAAATTCAATTGTTTTTTGTTACTCATTTGTTTTTTTAAATAAAATCAATTGAATGCTGCCTTATTATGGAAAATAAAATGTTAAACAACTTTTATATAGAAAATTTTTTATACAGTCGGTATTTACCGAGATAAATACTATATTCTGTACATAATGGGCACCCTGTATAAAATACATATAAAGAAAATTAGTGGAAAAACTACTATTTTTATTCTGTATGTATTTTAAATACTTTAGCTATATATCTACTAGACTAATAACTTACCATTGGTTGGTATACCTCACATGTGCATGTCTTAACCAATTTTTTACAGAGTCAATCATTTCCTTCTCGGTGGTCTCACCAATTAACTTATTTTGCTTTACGGCACCTGAAACATGAAAAGCATATACTTTACTAAATGTCGTTTTAATTTAAATCAACACGTAAAAAACAATCAATGTATAAAATTAGTCAACCTTACATAAAATAACCTCTGCAATCAGCAGGTTGCTGAAAGATTGCTTCTTTTTAGCTCCTAGCCAGCTGTAGTTGGCTGCTAGTTTATTTGAAATTAGTTTTCTTAACATAATTTTGGTGATTTGATCAATTTTTAGTCCTCCTAATCGACTGCAGTAATTGATCTAAAAAAATATACACTATAACCTCTACTCTCATGTATGTATTAGACTTCTTACTAGGTATTTCTTAAAATCAGGGTTGTTGAGAAGATAAACCTCCATGTTTCTTAGATCTAATTCGGTATCCAAAGGAAACTTGCGTATTATCTCTTCAAAGTTATCATGTTTCTCCTCGTTCTTGTCATTATCTTGAAGTTGATGAGATTTCATGTTCAATTCTAGTACTGACAGTTGTTGGCCAATTTTCACTAAATGAACCCTTATAAAAGACAGCTCTTTAAACAGCTTCTCCTCAAACCCTAAAAGTTATAGATTTTAGTACTTTAAGGAAATATATAAAAATCAATACCTTCATCAGGTTTGCGTGACATTACATATGTTTAAGATTCTTGTAGTGGAAGTCTCCTTGAACTGGATGCTATAGAATACATTTTCTTAAGGACTAACATTGTAATAAACAAATATACCTTCATCATTTCTACTAGATGGCGTGGAACACTGTGAGCGTGACATTACATGTGCTTGAGATTCTTGTAGTAGAAGTCTCCTTGAACTGGATGCTATAGAATACATTTTCTTAAGGACTAACATTGTAACAAAAAAACACAATACCTGAAACTTCAGTTGAATCATTCTTCCGAATATCTTGAGGTAGATCAGGAAATTCTGATATGTTTAAAACGCCAACTTGAGAATCCTCCTCTTCTTCTTCACTAGACGAAATAATCTTTTTTTTTTTACGCCTCCGATTTTCTTTGGATAATTCATGATCTGTATTCAAATCAGAGTGTTCCTCTGCTATTATTAGTTTTCGCCTTGCGGTTTCATATGAGGCTAGAATGAAATCATTAGCATTGAATACAGAGATATGTAGGTAGTTAAAAAAAACGAAAATCCATTTAAATAGCAATGAAATTATAAAACACTTACAAAAAGTTCCTAAAACGCGCATTTCATAAAGGGGCCATCCTTCATTTGGCGACTCCCAGCTTTTAACCGCTTTTTCGTACCGTGTGGTACTAGTAAACGTGGGCCAATAGCAACTGTTTCCCACAATCCAATCAGTAGGAACCAACTGTAGCCCGTCTTCGAATAACACTACAGACCATTGGCTCTCCATTTTTTAAATATTCTATAATTATAATAATATCTAAGTTGTTCTAAAGACAAATGGCAATTTACAGAACATTACCAACATAAAAATACAAAATGAACATAGTGAAAAGAACACTGAATTTATGAAATACAAAACGTCACCTACTGCTACTGCATTAAGAGTACTATACCGCCCTCAGTAGCAAAAGCACATGAAGTGAAAAGAATTCATATGATGTATGTTGTACGTAACAAATGCAAACCGAGCGAATCTATCTAGTGTGCTTATCAGAAAGGTAGTAAAACATTTCTAAATAAGAGTTTATTCATAAATAAAATATGGTATAAGGGTTTCACATAGATACTGCATTTGTGCAACTGAAGGCAGCATAACTATATACAGGATATCTACAACAGGTGTTTTTCCGATTGCTTTTCAATATTGGATGACAAATTATTCTAAACAAAATTTATGTGCAGAAAAAGTAAAATAAAGGGTCCTATTTATAAATTTAAAATTTGTTATCGGCATGGAGAAGTGGGTATACAGCATACCCATTTTTAAATGGTATTTGAACATATTTATATTTTATCTCGGACACGGACCAAATTTCTAATTTATCTGACACACTTTCTACATAATATATATTGATAAGTGAAGAGGGGCAAGGTATGTATCACTGAATCATTAATTTTACAACAATTATTTGGCATAGTTATACTAAGGCACCACTCAGGTGTGTATAATTCTTTAAACTGTACTTCATTTGTTAATCCCTGTGTAAGAGGCCCACCATCATATTTATTTTTAAATGTCCAGTTCATGTTTTGAGATGTTTCTAATGATAAGATATCAGTAGAAAATTGCTCCATATATCTCCGATGTAATTGTTGCAATGGTTTATCTGCTTTCCTTAATTTCATTTTTAACTGGCGCATATAGTTTTCAAAAGGAAATGCACTATATGAATCCAAAGTCCCTAAGTTTTTTGCATCATCGGTAATATGAAGCAGTCCATGAACATTATGGGAAATTAAACATTTGCCATAAATTTTTTGAAAAGAACTTACAAC